TGCTGAAAGTCAATTTGTTCAGTTTTTATTTTAAAAACACTTAATTTTTAACCTTTTATTTTTTACGTCAATTAAGCAGAGTTCTTTGACTTTGATTTTTTTTTAGCTGTAGAAATATCTCACATCTATAATGTGTATGCAGTCTTATAAACAGACAAAAGCTAGAGATCTCATAGCTTCACTTTAAAACTTACTTTTAAGATAGCTATAATAATAGTTGGAGTAAGCTGAATTTGCTTGCTCAAATCACTAAGGCTTACTATTTATGGAACAGACATTTAAGATTTCTTGACAAAGTCTGAAGGACCCGTCAGAGTTCTGAGTACTAAAATGCCAAAAATTTCTTGGCCTTAAGTTTTATTTCATTGAGTTAATTAGGCTCAGTACTAGGTCACTGTTTGCTGTATTTACATTTCTTATCTGCAAGGCAAAGACACACTCTTCCAGTTCCCCAGAGAACTGCTCTGTCACCCAGACCCATTTATCTCCTTAATTGGCATTTTTTTATCAGTGAGAAGAGCTGTAAACAAAGAATTCCATGTGTAAAACTTTAAGGTTTACTTTATCATGTCTTCCAAAGCTTGCATAAGGCATTTAGTAAGGTCTCTTTTCCTTGAGTTATAAGTTAAACCCAGGGTAAACCTCTTATTATATTTTTTTATTAGCCACTGAATATTAGTTTTTAGTTTTATGTTATATAGGACGGTTCATGTAACTCTATTGGTTTCCTTTACTTTGTTCAATTAATATTTTCTGAGGGACAGATATGTGCAGCCTTATAACACCAAGAAGGGGAAGCATTTTTCCATTGAAACATATCTAACCCACAACATAATTAAGCAAAAGTTTTATATAAAGACCATTTAAATATACCAATTTTTATAAACTTTTATCTCAATTTTATTAAATCTTATACCTTTAATTTTTATATTTATTAAGTTTAATCAATAATTCTTATTTCTAGAAGGAGTGCCAAAAGCCTTTTTTTTTTTTTTGTGCATTGTATCTAATTATATAGAAAAGTCTCTAGGATGCCCAAGTTTCAACCAAAGAGCTTAGGCCCTTCTCAATTTTTAATTTGATTAATTGGTGTTTTGTCCCAATCATTGATCAAGTATTTCAGTCTATATATACATATATATTAAACTGTGATAAATAAAACGGACTTGTTTGAACTTTAATGTTGGGGGGCAGTAGGTGATCTCTTTGGCCCTTTTATTTTTAACTTTATGTAGGGTAGTATCAAAACCTTGTATCTAAATCCAAAAATGTCCATTTTATTCATCTCATTCAAAATAACCATATAAAAATATTTATCCATTTGGGATAAGCCCCATATCTTTTTTTTCTGACATTTTTACAATCCTTTTTCCAGTTATTCAACCTAATTAACATTAATTATTCTAAGTTTTTATTAGCATCTCTTGAACCATTTCTCAGAAAGGAAAAACACAAATGTAGCTTTTCAAACGGGTTTTATTATTTGAACTAAGTTCTTAGGTTAATCATTAGATATATTTTTCTACCTTTAAACTTGATTTTAATAGGTACCAATGAAACAGCTGTTTATAATGAGATCTCTTTCAACTTTCACCAATTTAAAAGTTTTTCCAAATTAAAGGATCCATCATATGGCCATCAATTTATATATATATATATAGTGATTTTAAACCAATAAGATGAAGAGGCTCTTCCACATGAGAGTGGGGGTGTTGCCTAAATAAAATTCAAAGGTTTACTCTCCAAAAGCTAAAGGCCTTTGTGGTCCAGGCTGATGCAACAAAGTTTAAGATGGCAAAAGATCTGAAAATTGGTACAATCAAAGAATTGCTTAGAATCCCAATTTATTTGCATGGCCACCATATGTACACAATACATGTACCTTTTGTATGGCAGAGTCCAAGGTTTACTTTAAAAAAAAGAGTAAACATATATATACATACATACATACACTTAAAACACCCAGAGAAAGGTAAAACCTTTACATTTCAAGGACACAGGAAGACAAATTCAAGTTCCCCCTAAAGGGGATTTCATTTTTATAAGTTCAGAATTCCAAAAAATGTTTTTATCAGGCCTGGTTAATTACTTTCAGAGTGAGGTTTTTTTTTTCCTAATTCCCAATTAATGTTGTAAGTTTTGTACGTAAATAAACCTGGCTGGGGTAATAGTTGGAGGCTGGCAATCTGCCATTTCTTTTTCTTTTCTTTTCTGTTTTTTATTTTTTTTGAAAGTTCTATTCACCGTGTAAGCTCGGGTTCTCAGAATAAATTTGCTAGTAAGATTTCACACAGGGAAGACTCTACAGCATGAAGTCTTTGCCTCTACCACTCCTGCAAGATTCTCTGTCACCCGAGAAAGCTGATACCAGCCAGGAGGTGGGTCCCATTTTTGGAGTTGAAAGGTTCCTGACAAGAGTTTTACTTTTATCCTGAAAAATTCAATGGAGGTAACCAAATTGAGGAAAACATTAGAGCAGCCTCTTACCTAACCTCTCAGTCCTGAACCAAGTGTCTTTCTACTTGGACCCACTCGGGACGTCTCCACTGGGTGAGTATTTTCCTGATGTGTTTCCACCAGCCCCACCTCAGACATCTCCTCAAGGTGGGTATTTCCCATTATCTTTCAACCAAGCCCCACCCAGTCTGTCTCCACTGGGTAGGTAATTCACCCCTTTCTTTCAACTGGAGGGCCACGTACCTGGATACACCGCCAAATAAAACTCAGGATCATCAACCAATATGGGAGATCCGAGAATCAGGAGAGACTCACCCAAATTCATCTGGACTCCCTGAGGAGGCAAATGGGCACAAAGGGCCACTGCTGGTACCAAGGCTCTGGTTACTCGGAGAGTTCAGGTGGAGAGAAGTCTGCTGTGGGTCCCTTCATGGGGTCCAAAACTGTTGACTGAAATACATGTGCAGCCTTAAAGAGTTATGTTTTATTTGGTGGGAGGACTCAAGCCGGGATGACAGCCTCTCAGATCTCTCTGAGGGACTTCTCCCAAGAGGTTGAGGAGGAGCTAGGATATATAGGAGCTTTACAACAAAGACCAGGTTGTTGGAACAATAAAAGATTGCTTGTTATCTAAAGAAAGCC